TATTAGTCTTTGTAAACTTAATAAACTTCATTGGGTTCTGTGCATGAGAGCGGAGTACTTGCCAATCCCAGCCCCTTTTGGAGGATTAGTTGCCTAGAAGAATAGTAACAGAGCAGTCTTTATCTTCCCTTGAGAGCAGGGATTACAATGATGGCCTACACAAAGTGGAGGTTTCTTTACGCCTTCTCTCGCGTGTAGGTATAATCTGGCTTTAGCTAGACACTTCTATCACTGTTTTTTATATTTGCTATCTCACATTGTTATAAAGTTATATTTTGTTAAACAAATATATCAAATTCACTGCTTACAGTGAAGGGCCCCCAGTAGGCTGAAATCTAATACCCTCATTGCAATTTATGTAGTTTGAAACCTGTATTGTGTCGCTACTAATTTCTTTTTAAAGGTAAACAGATTTGTTTCCATTAAAATGTTGTTTTTTTACATGAGCTAAGTGAATAAAGCACAATGGAGTGTACTCTGCTCACAGAATATCCTTATGCCAATCGCTCATGAATTCCTCACATATCACTTGTTTAAATGTATTTGGTGAATGTGTTTGCCAATTTCCTGAGCCACTAGCATCTCTGGCACTGTGTCTATTTGTTACGAAAAGGGTTCCTAAGTCCTGTCCAACTGGAATACCCACTTGTTTGTGGTGTTTAGAATACTTATACTCTCCCATTTGAAAACACTGAATACTGAGAACCAACAATATGGACGTATTCATTTTATTCTGCCCATAATTCCATCCCCAGTTAGGAAGGAGACCTCTTTTTGATATGAGAGGCAATACAGATAAAAGTTAGTTTTGTCTCTCATCTTCTATATGTGTTAATGTATGATACAGATTGCAAACTGACCTGATGTCACTAACATACCGCAACTTCCATTTGATTTAGATTTGAAAACTGGTAGTTCAAGGTTACCATTGTTTCTTAATAATAAATAAGTGACTATTATTATTAATTCACTATATATAACCGTAGTATATGAGTACTGTTTACATAATTCAGTTAAAACAATATTTTCTTATACGTTCCCAGCATGGAGACTTCTGCTAGAAGTAGGTTTCACCAACAAGTTTATACTTGTTCTACTTCCCCAAAGGTAAACTAGTCAGCAGCAATCACTGTCATGGGAAAAGAGAGAGGTCCAAAATTTGGGCCTTGCTGTTTAATCTTGTGAGAACCAGTCATAGAAAGAGCCCTACCCCCTCTGGCTCCTTGGTGTTCTGCTCAGGGCTCCCCGAATCTGGAGTAAATGTGTGGCTCCAGTGTGGCTATTGATCTAATGCTATACTAGATCAGACCAGGGTCCATCACATCCAGTACCCTGTCTGCAACAGTGACCAAAACCAAATGCTATGAACTCTTGCAGCGGTGCACTGAGCAGAGGTTGTCACTGAGCTGTGTAGAGTGGTGCCCAGGTCCCTGTTTTGGGTTTATACAGTTACTTTAGAACCCTGTAAGGTGTAAAGATAGTTCAATTTTTTTCACTCAAGGATGCAATAGGATCCTATTGTTCTATTTTATATATCTCCCTAAATGGTAGATAACCTCATTCTACACTTAAACTATAGTAGACCTCAGGGTGGTCTCTTTGGGGTAGGGATTTTCTCTTTTCTATGTATATGTACCCATAGGCGCCGACTCCGCAGGTGCTTTGGGGCTGGAGCACTCACAGGGAAAAATTGGTGGGTGCTTAGCACCCACCGGCAGCTCCCCACCCTACCCTACCCCGCACCAGCTCACCTCCACCTCCGCTCTGCCTCCACCTCCTCCCCTGGGCACACCATGTGCCTGCTTTTTCCCCCTAGCTCCCAGCGCTTGTGCTGCGAAACAGCTGATTCGCGCGGCGAGCGCTGGGAGGGAGGGGGGAGGAGAGAGAACGCAGCACGCTCAGGGAAGGGGCAGAGATTTGGGGAAGGGGTCCAATAGGGGCAGGAAGGGGGTGGAGTTGGGGCTGGGATTTGGGGGAAGGGGTTGGAATGGGGGTTGGGCAGGGGTGGGGAAAGGATGGGGCGGGGCCAGGAGCGGGGGGGCCTGAGCACCGGCGCCGGGGAAAGTTGGCGCCTATGTATGTACTGTGCCTAGCACAGTGAGGCTTCAGTTTTGTTTGGGCCTTTAGGCTACAAGTCATAGTAATACAATGATTGTACTAGGTGTTGGGCAAACATAAGAGGTAGTTTCTGCCCCAAAGAGCTTACAATCTAAATAGAGTAGGCAGAAAAAAGAATTAGTAGAATTGGTCTCCCTTATGGATAGGGAACAATGGTGTTTGCAGATACCCGTCACCCCAAGCAGTTTTACAGAACAGAATTTTGCAGATGTTTGGCAAAATGTGTATTCTGTAAAGGAAAATTAAAGATTTGCCAAAGGCTGCATTAAGAATAATTGGAATATTTGGCAAACCAAAGTATTTTCTGGTTCATAAATTGTAGGGGTGGGTAGTGGTTCTACATAGTGTAGATGTTGTGATAATCTGTATCCACTTCAGTGCTTTACTGTGTCCAAACCACTAAATAAAGATTCACGTGGATGTGGAGGAAGTTCAGGAAACCACTTCCCCGTTATCCATGTGTATTCAATGTACCCGTCTGGCTGGCTGAGACAAAATCACAACATGATATTCCATGAAAAATGAGTTTTCTATTGTAGCTTTGTATTTTTCTCTTCCTGCGGAATAAAATTCACATATTCAAATAAGAGTCAGGTTTTTGAGACTGGGTTTCTTTGCACAAGTATTGATATTATCTGCAATATTTTTTGTTCCAGCAATACTGCCTGATTCCATGAAGTCAGAGAATATACAGCAGCATAATCCAGTTACGTGAATTTGTTTGTGTTTGCCTCAAAAACCCTTTAACAGTCTGAGAACTAGTATATAAAGGTGATACCTTGTGATCAGCATTTGTGCGTGTGTGTGTTTTTTTCTCCCCCTGACAGCACTGCGGAGTCGATCAGGACGGTCCATCATCAATGGAAACTGGGCAATTGATCGACCCGGGAGATATGAAGGAGGAGGGACTACATTCACATATAAACGTCCAAATGAAATCTCAAGCACTGCAGGGGAGTCCTTTTTAGCAGACGGTCCGACAGACGAGATCCTGGATGTCTATGTAAGTTTGTCAAATTCAGATTAACCTTCCTAGTGGAAAACAAGAGTTCTGGTCTTTGTTCACACATGACACTAAAAACACAAGCAATAGCAATAGATAAATGCCAGCATTCCATTTAATCCTTAGAGGTAACAGTGTTTTAGATATTACAGTATCTTTGCTGTTACCTCTGTATTGCCCCAGATCATAGGAAATCTAAACAGTAACAGATATCTCTTACCACCTGGGTTTACTGACCCAGTAAAACCAATTTTACTTGTTGAGTAAAATCAGAGGCAAAGCATATAGTATTCTTTATTTCATGAGAGCTGTATTTCCTCCAGACACTTTTCTACTGAAGCTAATTTGGCTTGGTTAGTTTTATAGTTACCCGAATCAAACGTCTGAAGCCTGTCAAGACTTCTGATGGATTCAAGCCTTCTTGATTCTGTATATTTTTAAATAAATATAAATAAAAGCTACAAAATGAAGCATTCCTGGGCAGAGTTTTAATGGCAAACTTCATTAGGAAATCCTAAACAGCAGACACTCCGCAAAGCAATCGCAGAACCAAATTGCAGTGAAATCCTGGCTCCATTGAAGTCAATGGCAAAAGCATTGATTTCAATGGAGCCAGGATTCAACTCAGTGTATTTCTGGTATTGTTCAACACTGAAATAAAAATGCTATTGTGGATTATTATAGCATACTATGAAATTAATTGTGCATATAGGCATGCTCATACACAAATATAAAATAAAATATATTGGCTGAAAGACCACATGTAGTATAGATACACAGTCTGAATTGATGATATTGGTTGTTTTAATTGGCCAGGGTTTGGTTGTCATTAAACTCAACAAGTGAAATGACACATGATAGAAAAATTAGTGCCGTATATTTTTATAGAAAGTGCACCGGCTCCTACAACTGGAAGAGTTACAAATGGCAAAATGATTAAAAAGTAACAATAATTATTTATTGTATTGCTTTAACAGGGCCCAATGTGGGAGATGGGGAATGATTTTTCATTCGTTGTGATGTAAAATGTTGATGTAAAGATTAATAGATTCTGATTGCCCAGAATGCATATTACTAAAAAAAAGGATATAATGAGCACTTACATAAAGAATATTGGCTGGTGTGAGCTGAGATGCTGTGATGTTTTTATTGCCAAGAAATTGATGCCTAATGTATGATGACTGTATTACCCAGAGGGAAGGCAAAGGAGCCATGCATGACTTATTCAGGTGTTCCCAAATAAGTATCATCAAAAACTTTAGAGCACCTTAAATTAATCAGAATAAAATGTATTTTGATTTTTAGAGCTCTTATATCTCATAGTTTGTTTGTGTCACTATTATGTATTGATTTAATCTTTGCCTGTTTATCTCCCTTCGTTTTTCCCTTCAAGACATCTTATTTGCCAGTAAGAAAACAGCAAGGTTGCCATGGGTTTGGGCACAGCTTAGTGACTTGAACTGTGGGTTATTGCTGTGGACTGGCCCCCTGGTTTGGCACTCTCTCTCTTTCATCATGCTCTCTGTAGGATGTCAGGACCGCTGGAGGCTTATCTAGGCTGGCTGATAGATCAGCATTTTCCCTTTCACTGCATTGTAGGTTGGTTGAGAAGCCATCTGTGCTGGTTTGTCCTAAAATGGGGATTGGAGGAGTGTTAGATGAAAGAAAATCATAGGAGCTTTGTTAATAGCATAATCACCCTCGCACAGGTCCTCACTTTCTAGTTACAGAGAGAGAGCTAATATTAACATAAACCAGTTTCCAGTTCCTCAACTCCCTGAACCATACAGTCCTTGTCTTACCATTTCTGAATCCTTTTCCTTAGCTCCGAACCTTGAAGGGATATGAAAATGTTAATTCCAGCTGGCTGTCAGTCTTTTCTCTCACTTCCTGCTGTCTTTCTTTCATTCTCCAGTTGCACAGGAAAAGGCTCCTAAGTTATGTTATAGCAAAGTTTAAACAGATAGATAAAGAACAGAAATTCAGATCAGTTTGGTTATGCACATAAAGCAGCTATGACATGAATACAATAAAGCTAAATTGTTACAAAAGCTTACATTGCCACTAACTCAAAGCAGAACTGTTATAACAGGTCCTTGTGAGTAGTTTTGGGAAACACTATGGAAGAATCAGGGGAACCATAGGAGAGCTTTCCTTGGAACTACCCAAACTGTAGGGTCCTGATCTGAAGAGATGTGGAGCACTCTCCGCTCCCACTGAAGTCAATAGGACTTGAGAGTGCTCAGCACCTCGCAGGACTGGGCACCAAGAGAGTGCATTTTAAAATTGTAGAGAGAGGTCAGAAGGTCAGCTCTTATAGAAATCATTACAGGTAGTGCATTCTCATATGATTCCCAAAAGTGGGTGCTCTCATTGGGGCAGAGCTTAGAGAAAAAGCTGTTGAGTTTGCCAGAGGAAGCACTTTTCAAAGACAAAGAGATGAATTCTAACTCGGAATAACTCTGTAGACTTCAGTGGATTCCAGAATGGCTTTCTGACTGCAAAACAAACCTAGTGCCACAAGTTTGTTGCTGGTGGGTCACAGGGGTGTTGAAGGGATTTTCTCTTGGTTGTAGCCCTTGCTTTGGCAGAACCAAGACACTTTTCATGTTCAAGAGGAAGTGTCTGGCTGATAAGGAAACTCAGGTATAAGGCACTAACAGCAATCTGTAGTGATGATTTTTTTTTTAAGACAGACTTTTTAAAATTAAACTGGCTGAAGCTTCTACCAGAGCAATCCAACACCCCTGCAGAGGACCAAGTTCTTTTAAGGCAGCAGTGCGATCAGCCGCATTATTAAAGTAACCAAGGCCAGGCTAATAGAATCAACAGTACATAGTGTCTATAACTGATAATGCAAGCATCCCTATTCCCACTCCACCAGCATAATGTAGCGCTGCTAAGGGGTTCAAATGGTTTTCCAAGAGGCGCAAGTACCTTGCAAGGGCTTTATTATGCAGCTCCTAGGTTGGTAGGCACTTATTCACACACCCGCCCTTGATTTCAATGGGATACACATGTGAGTGCTTACTAATGTGCATAAGGATTTTACAATTGGGCTCTAAAACCTCTACACTTTGTTGTTGTCTTTCTTAAAGCAGGTACGCTCAAGGTTCCCAGTGCTAGATAAAAATATTAAAACAAACCAAAAAAAACCCCAACCAAACCAACCCTTTTGTCCAACAGTAGAAAAAATGAGGGACCTTTTCTGCATGTTTGGCTGTCTGTGGAATGTTCAGTCCAATTGGCTGAAAATGAATTTGGCGGTGGTTGGGAACACAATTCTATATCAGTGATACAGTCACCACAATGTATATGTGGACCTCTGTTATCTATTTACTTGAGCACTGTTAAACAACTGCTATATAAATGGAATAGACATACAATTGTTAGCTAGTTTTGCTTGCTGCTTTATACATACTGTGGTGAGTGATATGTGCTGAGCTGCAAGGCTATAAAAGGGGACAACTTGGTATCTGAGGTAACACAGATGGGTTAATAAGAACACAAGAATGGCCATAGTGAGACAGAGCAATGTTCTATCTAGCCCACTGTCCTGTCTTCCAACAGTGCTCAGTGTCAGATGCTCCAGAATGAACAGAACAGGGCGATTATCAAATGATAATACATAAGTGCTGATTATGCATTCTCAACTCAAGTAGAACTGACAATCATTTGAGAAGAGAGCTAGCCGGGTTTGGAACATTTGGATTTGGACCCTTCCCCCTCTTTCTTCTCCTTCTTGTTTATCTTTTCTCAGTTATCTGTCAGGTCAGTTATTTCAGTCCCAACCCATTTGTCGTCTGAACCTCTCTCGCCACCTAGTGTTCAGTGAAAGACTTTTAACAACACTGCTGTATTTTCACATTTTGCACCTGTATCAAGAAGACGCAGATGATGTAGTTCTTCACAGTGATGTTTTTGAGTAACAGCTGTTCCTTCCTATTACAATTTAGTGCAATTTGCAAATGTAGAAACTCATCTTTTCTTTACTTGTCTTAGCCTCTCAGGAACAAATTGTTTATTTTCATATTTCACTGACGTACCAAACAAACCTTTGTCTTTTCTAATAATAGCAATCATCATGCTGTTGATTGGTTTAAATGCATATTTCTGTTAAGCAGTAGTAACCTAACAAGTGGTTTAAGTGAAAGGGTGATTATTTTGAATAAGGTAACATTTATTTGACTGTTTTTCCTCTTAGATGATACATCAGCAACCTAACCCAGGTATACATTACGAGTATATCATTCCAGAAGCCAATGTCATTAGCCCTCAGTTGCCTCCTCACAGAAGGCCAGGTAAATCATCATTGCCTTAAGCACATTCTTTAGCATTATGGGCCAGTAGTAATATTCTGGCCTCACTGAAGTCAGTGGAAGTTTTGTCATTGACTTCATGAGGCCAGGATTTCACCCCTGATGTTCAGCTGGTGTAAAGCAGTGTAACTCCATTGACTTCGATGGAGTTACTCTGATTTGCTTCAGCCTAGGATCTGGTTCTTTAATTCTGTTTTGAAGGTAATTTTGTCTTTAATGTGTCACATGGGATAAGAACACACCGTGACTTTTCCTTGATCAGTTACTGTTATGAGCTGAATTGCTCTGCCTGTATTTCAGAAATTAAAATACTTTTTCTTTCTTTTTGGAGTTTGATATTTTGAAACAACCTTTCTCAGCTTCTCTCTCGCAATCCTGTGGAAATTTCTAAGCCCCCAAAGATAAACTTTCTCTAGACAGAATATATTTAGAATTCTATAGCATGGAGGTGTGTTAAATGTAACAGTAATTCTGAAAAAAAAAAGAAGAGAAAATTGGCAGGCAAGTTTGGTACTATTTCTCATGTTTTTGATTCTCCTTGTCAGATTTGTATTGGCTCTATAGCTTGTTTCTTAATGAGGAGCAGCTGGAATTTGACATTAAGAGGCACAGAATATGGAGCATGGTGAAAAAACAAATCTTTGGAAAACTTGATTGACATTAGGTGCAATAATTATGCTAGAAAATGCCTGGTGAATTTCCACTTTTGTGTGTGTGTTTGCTTGCTGAGAATTGGGTGCCTCATTGAAAAGCAGCAAAGTCTTTGTCTGCAGAACAACCCAGCAAGTCTGGATATGGAGATAAAAGCTCTTGACAACTTTGTAGACCATTGTTGCAACTACTAATTAGTGAATGCATTAGCTAATATTTGAAAGAGATGATCACTCTTTTAATTTGCTATTGTTGCCTGTCCCCAGGGGAGCCATTCAATGGTCAGTTAGAACTGACAGATGGTACAGATCACGAAGATGGGAATTTGCATAGGGAGACAGACACTCACACTGGACAGTCAACAGGGACCTTTCCTGTTATTCAGCCAGGAAGGTTTCCTTCTCATCAGCCAGACAACCAGGTGCCTGCTGTGCAGCCACCACGACGAAACCGAGAACACAACTGGAAACAGGTTGGAACAACTGAGTGCACCACTTCGTGTGGGAAAGGTAAATGCTTTACAGTGTATGCATAGTATTTATATTACACACAGGAGGATTCCAGGCCAGGAGAAGAAAAACATGGGGGAAAGAGCATGTTAGAAAACCCAGCAAATCCCTCTATGCATTAGACATATGTTTGAGCCACTGCTTTCTGTTGTTTCTCACTAAGTGATAGACAGACAAATCTGTAGCACAAAGTGGGTTCCAAATATATGTCAATAAAAATAATTTTAAAAGAAAAGAAACAGAGCATGGTGCACATAGTTTACAAACAGGCTTGGAAGATTTTTATCATTTCAACAGATAATATTGATGTTTATTTTTAAGTATTTTTTATCAATTTAATTTTTCACAGTTGTGCAAAATTATGAGTTTTAAGCATTTTTTTATATTTTTATCCATATACATTTTCACAGCTGTGGGAATTTTTTGAGGGGGTCAGTCCATAGAGGGGGTCAGTCCATAATTATTTAATGACAGCGATATTCAAAAAGGTAACGCTTCATAACCATTAACACACAAACTGTCAACACGCATCAAAATATACAAAGTAAATATCCTTAAATCAAACTCTAATAAGTTCTCAAGCAGCATTTTTCTTACTTTGCCTATCTGTAAATTTTAATTATTATTGGTGGAAATATTTTTCATTGGTTTGTGTGTGTACGGTGAAATCGACATTTACTGACAAAAATCTAATTCTTCCAAGCCTAATTATAAAGCAGAACATGGTATCCATTGCTGAAATGAGAAATATTGCAGTCTTTTATGGCTGAGGACAATTGCCTGAAGTTGCTTTTCTCATGTTTCCCTGATACACTACCATTATCCTCAGCATTCTCTGGTGTCCTTTCCCTGTTTGTTTAAATCCTCCATTTTCATTAGTACTTTTAGCACCTCTGTAAATATCTTCCTACTATTTGCCTGGATTGCACCTTTACTGGCAGTGATTCCTCCAGTGATTCCTCCATCTCAGAGCTCCATTTGCTAGTTAGATGCCCTTACAATATATGGTGTGAATTACAAGCTTTTTGAGGGATTCGACCCCTTTAATTAACCTTTTGCATGATGAGGCATAGCTGTTTGGGGCACAAAAGCTGGTTGAACTAGCCAATGGTAGGAACAGAGGTACTGATGCTTTTGACGAACATCAGTGGTATATTCTCCAGAACAGGCGTGCAGGAGCTGAATACTTGAGCAGAAGATGATAGTAGAGTGTGTAGTTTCTAGAGATTTGTGATGTCCAAACACAATTTTTGTTAATGTTTATAGCCTCTCTCACTGTAGCAGCTGAGTACCCTTTTCCTATTTGGAAACCAACAAATTGTATTAAAATATAACCTAAATTGAGTGCTCTAGTAAATACTGTCCTTTTTGTCTGGAATAAAACCCAAGAGTAAATAATAAAAACAATCAAAATAAAATATAATCTAAACCAAGTGAAAGTGCCTTCCTTCCTGCTCTAGCAAACCTCTGACAGGAGTAAATTCTACTGGTGGGGAAGTTCACCTGAGAAGTCCTGCCACGAGGACTTATAAAATACACTTAACTCCAGGTATTGTCAACATATACCTCCTAGCTGAGCTTATTATAAAGTGGAAAGGCTCTCTCAGAAAGCTCGGCCAGTGAGGTATATGTCAGGGCTACTGATATAGCTAACGAAACACAACTCTACACATTCCATATAACTTGTTAAGTTGATGGGAAAATTGTGGTTCTGTTGAGCTAGAATAAAGAAAACTTTAACTCTGGACATAGAGGAAAGGTAACATCTTTGTGGCAGTGAGCATAGTCCTGAGGTGAGGGAAGACAATTAAAGGTGGTGATGTAAAGGGAGTTGATAGTGTATTCTGTTACTGGGAATATCGAGCTGTTAGACAGATGTGACTGCTCTGCAAACCTATTTCCTCTGGGGGGAAATTTTAGTTAATTTTCTTTAGCGCTCTCTCCTTGCTCCAAAATATGAAACTGAGTTAGTGCATGAAATCTTAATATCGTGCGGATCCTTATGCACATCATCATCATAATGAATTCAAATTATATCTCTGTTGGGAAAGCGGGTAGTTAAGTGCACTACATCGATGTTCTCTTTTTTTTATTGTTATTCCTTGCTAGTCCCAGACAATGAATTGGGAAATCGGCCCAACTTGGGGAAATTATGGCAGAAATGTTACAGTACTAAAATCAGGACTCTTGGGAGTCTGACACTTGGGGGGGGGGCAGTGAACGTAAATCATATTATTTTGCTTGGACGTAGGAAATGGCTTTTAGATTAGAGTTTGTGGGCAGGATCCTCAGCTACTGTAAATAGACATAAATTCTCTTGCAATCAGTGAGGATCACCAGCTGAGAATTGGAACAATCATATTTTCGGAAGGTAGAAGCTGAAGTTTCTTTGCAAAAGAATTGTGCATTTGAGCACTCAGATCAAGAAATTCTGCATGCAAATACAGGTGCACAAATCTGCAAGGGTTTTGAGGGGTTTCAGTCATTTTATAGGAAGAATGTTGGAAACTTTCCTTTGTAATCCCTATGATCAGAATTTTGCTGTTTTTAAATATCTGGCAGTCAGTGGGAAGCAGCTATGAAATCTGAATCCAGATTAAACAGCAGAACACTAGAAAAATATCATATCACAGGAAAGCTTTCAGCATGTTATGGAACTGAGACTTACTCCCTGAAATTAGAAAGGAGGAATGTCTGAAATAAATATACCTTCCCTAGGTTCTAACGGGGGGTGAACCTTGTGTCCTAGACTCTACCAAATTTAATTAGCAGTATACTAATTAGCAGTACTGGGAGAACTATGATTTGCTGATAGCATGAACAGTTTGTTACAAATCTAGGCCTGAGTTACTTAGTTGACTACCTCTGCCCATATAATTCTCCAAGGCAATTGAGGTCCAACAGGTTCTTTGCTCTCTCTCAAAGAGAAATGATAAAGAGAGGGAAAACAATTTTTTGAAACAACGTTGAAATTTTGAACTTGTTTCCATTTTGCAGAGTTTGTAAAGGAATATTTTTTATTTCTTTTTTAAAAACATTCTGAGAATTTTTTTTGATAATTTTTGAAAATTTGAACTTTTTTCCACATTTGCCTTTTTTGCAACTGCAAATTTTTTTTTGATGTCCATTGTTTCCTTCACTTTTTCATTTTTTCTTTTCTTCTTTTCCTACTCTGCAATTTTTCATAACTTCTTCAACTTTGGGAAGTTATTGACTAGCAAAAGGAGGAAGGAAAAGAAGAAAAGTGCCTACACATCATTCATTCTCTTTCATTCTATGGCAGAATGGCACCAAGGAAAAACTGAGAAGAAAATTATTGATTTTTCATTAAAAACTGGAAATATTGGACGTACTTTTCACTGAAGTTTGTGATTTTGAAAAAAGGCCATTTATCTTTTTTTAAAATTATTTTTCAGATGAAAAATATCAACCAGCTCTGTCCTAAAGTTCTATCTGATCAGACTGAGCGTGTAGCTTTTTAATACCAGGGTCCATGCCTGTGGAAACTGCTAACTTTCCCAAACGCGGTAGTGAGAGTATTTCTCTGGCACCAACTCTGTGCATCAGCCAGACACAGATGAGAGCATATGCCACTACAGTTTTTACACTCCAGGAACCAGAGAAACTCCTCCTGAGAGCAACTCCTCTTCCCTGTTCCCCTATCCTCCAGCACAGACTGTGGCTTAGAGCCACAATCTAGGCCTTAGCTTAGCTGTAAATGGAAACACATTACAGAGAGAGTGGTATGAATACGAAATTTAGTAACAGTGATACCGCAGTGTGCAGCATGTTCTTAATTGAAAAAGCAAATTCATAAAGAAAGCTAATGACTAAAGCACCCAACTGATTGCTAAATTACCTACTTTCTACTAGAACTAGAAGAATGAAGATGCTCCGTATGCAATTTTATTGTAAATTAGCATTTCAGATGCAAACCTTCTCATTTAAATATATTGCTGAATGACTTTAAATTTGGCAGACATGTAAGCTTTTAATTTCCTTTATTACAAATGCCATATTTTGCTGCATGTCAGCCAACAGCATTAATCAGAACCACACTTATTTTATTTAAACCATGGGTGTGAGTTAAAGCTATTACAAAACTTTAGTGCAAGATCAATTAAAACAAATAGCTATCTGAATGTACTGTGCGCGTGCGCTCTCTCTCTCTTTCTCTCTCTCTCTCTCTCTCTCTCTCGCAGCCAACCTCCTGGTTAGATGAAGAAAAACGTAAGTTTTGTAAATACGGGATGAGATGCAGAAGTCTGCAGAAAATCTGTTAACACAATTAAAAACTTTTCAGTAATCACCAAAAGTTACCATTAAAATTGAGATTTAAAACACTGGGAGGTAGGAATGTGGGGCTAGTTAACAACAGATGCTAGACTTAGACAGCAGATTCAAGTGGATAATTAGATATAGAAGGAGCTGGAGCAGACTAAGCATTCAGTCCAATGGCATAAGATCTGCATTGTCAGCAATCATGTAAGCCAGTTGCAGTATCGATGGACTCTTAGCATAATAGGCTTCTAACTTATACCACATTAGCCAAGATGTTCAAGCTGTTGCTATTACAGTTTTACCCTTTTGTTCACTCCTCCCTGCCACATACACATACACAGCTGCATGTTGTCAGCAAATTATCCAGTTTCAGAGTTGTGCAGGCTTTTAGCCATGTGACTCATTTGGACTTTTACGATGAGTCATGCAGCTTTGAACTCTGCACATGAGCGTGTTTCATATGTTACATGCTGGGTAACAACAGGAGAGGACTCCATGTTTCTACAATTAAACAGCTCTTTGTTAAGAGAACTATTTACAGAGGTGCAGCTAGCATTCTAGCCATTTGCACACAGACTGGCTTTCTGGTGCCTCCTGCATCCTGTACTCCTCCCTCTAAGTTCCATGCAAGTTGCTGCACTGTAGGCCTATAGTTTGGTTCTAAAATAGACGCAAGCATATTTGGTGGCCGAAGGAAGGAATTAAGCTGCAACTCTAACATCTGGTGCCATACTCTCTCGCATCTTTCCTGTAAGGATTTACTTCTCTTTACTCTGAGGATGTAAATCCTCTTGGTGTTTGGTCTACTCTAGACGTACCTTGTAGAGGATTGTGCCTTCAAGAAACCTGATACATCAGGAAGAACAGCTGGTGTTGGGTAAGGGTGGGAGATATGCAATATGATCTCTGGAAAGCTGCAACAAGAGTCTGCTTGCTGAAACATAAACATTGTCTAATAGTTGTCTGTGTGTCTGATAACGAACTGCGGACTCTACTCTTCAGGTTGTATACTGTTCTTCCCTACATTCCCAAGCAAAGCAGCTGTTAACATAAATGAGAGTCAGTATAGTTTTACCTTAGTTTTACTTCAGAAACAAAGGTCTACCCCAGCTGTCACATAGGTCCATGGCAAAACTTCCATTGTTTTCAATTGAAACAGGATCAGACCCTAAATTTGGGGAGGAGAGTTAGTAAGATAGGGACAGCATATCAGGATATGTCTGTGGAAAGAAGGGGAAACAATTTAGCTGCATTCCTGTTTGAATTATGTGTTTTGTTTGTGGTTAGTTCATTTTGGGGTATAAACGTACTTACCTCTAACCTAAGCAGGATCTTTCCCTTTCACATCAGAGTTTATTTTCACACTCCATTATTTCTTTTTTTGCCCACCCATCAGTCTCCACATTAACTGGGCCTATTCCAAAGTTGCTAGTGATTTGGGGTGCTTCACTTTATGATGCCCAACTTAAGATAACTGAAAATGGCCTGATTTTCACAGGTCTGGTGGTCAGCCAATATAGCGTAGCTCCCGAGAAGAATTAGAATATATTGGTTACAGGCAAGGATGGAAAAGTTTGACATGGATCTTCTTTGGAACAGAGTAGCAGAAATGAGAAAGAACTGTGTGGGCTTTGAGGGAGTTTGTACAAACTCTTCTTTGACCTCAGAACTAGAGTTGTGTGACTCACTGAGCTGCTGGAATTGGTGAAAATTCTCTGTTCCAGAGTAATGGAAGTGATACACTTAGCACTTTGGTCTGAATTTCTCACCATCCTCAGAGACAGGTTACACAAGCAAAGGAAATCACCGCCTTTCTCTCTAAGTGCAAAACTTAGCTAAAGAGACTGAGCAGTTAAAAAAGGAGAGAAATAATAATACTTAACATCTATCCAGTACTTTGTCATCCCTAAAGCATTAATTCATGAAGCCTCACAACACTCCAGTGAGGTAGGTATTATTTTTATATCCTTATTTACCTGATGATAATCCTAAAGTAGGGAGGGTAAATTACTTGCCCAAAAGCAAAAAGAAAAGGAATCTGACACAGAGGCTGGATTAGTGCACACAAGTTCCTTCTCCCAGTCCTGTGTTCAAGCTGCTAAACTGCATTTTTTAAATCAACTACAGGCTGAAGCTATGCACAGTTCTCCCCAAAAACATTTAATGGAGCAAAACCACAACACTTTCTCAGACTCTTTTGCAATGCTGTGCTGTGGTTTGTGTTTGCAGGCAGCTGCCGTCGTCGTGTTGCTGTAAGCAGCAAAGCATTCAGATTTCACTTATAGAATCATAGAATATCAGGATTGGAAGGGACCTCAGAAGATCATCTAGTCCAACCCCATGCTCAAAGCAGGACCAATCCCCATGTTTATTTGTGTTTATGTACATTGGATAAACTACTAATTTGGACCATTTTCCTTATCCTGTTGCTCTCTTGTGTTTAAGCTTTCGGTACCAGATCCTGTTGTTGTAGCTAAGTCACATGTATGTTGAATGTTTTCTTTTTATCTGCACTACTTATTATTGGTTTGGCTTTTGTTTTTGTTTTATTGCCATTTCAGGGTTGCGATACCCAATCTTCCACTGTGTAAACAGAATATCTCATGAGGAGGTGTCTGAGAGCTATTGTGACACCAGCACCAAGCCCACGCCAGAAGAAGAAGCCTGCAACATCTTCCCATGCCCAGCCTTGTAAGATAGTGCCAGAAAATACACTGGAAAATGAAGGCAGCAGTGTCACTGAAGCTTTGCACAAAGGAGGGTAGCTGTTTTAAATAGGACTCTAGGGTGAACATCTCAAGTATTTTCCACTTGTGACATGGAGTGCAGCTGATGGGTTCCCCTGTCAGAGGTGGTTTTTATTCCTTTCTAAGGGCAGGTCTATACTACCCGCCTGAATCGGCGGGTAGAAATCGATCTCTCGGGGCTCGAATTATCGCGTCTCGTCGGGACGCGACAATCGATCCCCGAATCGACGCTTCTACTCCACCAGCGGAGGTAGGAGTAAGCGCCGTCGACGGGGGAGCCGCAGAGGTCGATTTGCCGCCGTCCTCACAGCGGGGTAAGTCGGCTCTGATATGTCGAATTCAGCTACACTATTCGCGTAGCTGAATTTGCCTATCTTAAACCAAGCTCTCTCTCCCTCCCCCCCCCGTAGTGAGGACGTAGCCTAAGGAAGTGGCAGCCATAGCAGTTTATCCTCCATTCCAGCACTGTTATCCCATGTGAGATAAGGGAGTTAGGAGTGATTGGCAGTGCCAATCCTCAACAGGTATGATGGTTAAGGGTGCACTGCCCCTGCAATCTCTCCCCTAGTCTCTCCCTTGGTGCTCTTTCCAAGAGAGAAGCCTCTACCTGCACTTCTCCTAGAGCAGAACTCCGCGGTTCACACCACTTTAGACTGAATCACCAGGTTACGTTCCCACTGTTCAGGGTAAGTGGTGCCTTATACGTTATACTCCTTTGCAGTCCCTCATGAGTGCACCCTCTGCTGCCTTCTACTTCTGCCCTCTTCTACAACTCAGTCCCCCATCTTCTAACTATGTTAATATGACAGGCCCAAATGTACCGGGCACCTGCAAGGCTCCTCTCTCTGGGAGCCTGTGATCAGCAGCTGATTAAGGTAACTCAGAACAGCTCCTTCCAAACAGCACACTATATATTCACCCAAGGGTATATAGCAAGCAGATAAAAGGGTTAACACTACAGAGGGTCTTGCCTAAGCTTTGAGACAAGGGATAAGCTTTAGGCGAGCCTATACTGCCTCAGACACACTCTGCAGGGCCTCTGTCTCTGACTGACTGCTCCTGCTGCAATCTCTGCCTCTCTCTGTCAGCTTCTCTACACACACACTTCCTCTCCAGGCAGGGAGTTTTAAGGTTTACTGTCATTTTTGATCTTAGGGCCCCTGGCCTGGGAAAAATAGGCCTGTGACCTGGCTGGAGCCAGGTGGGCAATTCCAAGTAATAGCCCATCCAATGTTCTCAAAGGACTCTTGGAATACTTTCCCCAGAGATAGCTGATCTCTAGCCACAGCTTTGTTTCCTGCTTGTTCTTCTTAATAACCTTTAATTCAAGCGTTTAATTGAACTCTGTCTAATCAGACAGAATATTGTCAATCAGGTAAACTGGGATGCATACAGTGCTGATGATAAATGATACAGCTATTGCCCTCATTCTCCACAACAAGTCTGAAGTTAACAGTGTGAAGGGCATTTGTACTAGCAATGCACTCATCTCCCTGAGCATGACACCAAAAATGACATGAAAATTAAAATATATATATTAATAAAACAAATACATATATACAGTCTTAATAGAAATCTTAATGGAAAGGAATCTTATTGTCACTGAAATAAAATGAATCTATTCATTGTTTGTCATACATCATTTTATTTGTATATGTAAGTTAATGCCCATTTAGGTGATCCATCTACCATTCCTCCTCCAAACAACTGCTCTCCCTGTGTCATGTCCAGAAAAAGTCTGTAAGCTCCTCAGGGCAGACATCTTGCTTTTACATGTTTTGGGAAGTGTTGTTAAAGTAATCAGAAATAATATATATTGCTAGACAATTTCTAAAAATACACTCAGATCACTATGTACCCAGTTCTGCAACTCTTACACATTTAATAGCGTAACACCTCATCCTTTGTAGACCCTTTGGAAGTCTGCAGTGGTCCCCTATATAAAGGATAAGTATTATTTATTTCAGTATTCAGCAAAAGACATGCAGAGGTTTAAATGATAGTATAAGACTTTTTTTTTGTCCAAACACTTATAATCAGAATTGAAAGGAGATTAGTGTCTACAATATGGCACTGTCTTTATTAACAGCGGATCATTATTATGTTCTCCTTTTTCTTTTCTCTGTTAGCTGGGATATAGGGGAGTGGTCTGAGTGCAGTAAAACATGTGGCCTTGGTATGCAGCACCGACAAGTCCTGTGCCGACAAGTGTATGCCAATCGTACTCTGATGGTTCAGCAATACCGATGCCATCACTTGGAGAAGCCAGAAACAACCAGCACATGCCAGCTGAAGATTTGCAGTGAATGGCAAATTCAGACAGAGTGGACTTCGGTAAATGGGAATGATTGGTTCATTTGGAGCATGAAACCTCAGGGGAGCTACAATGGAGTGGCTCCAGAGATCTTTAATCAGATGTGATTGGATTACATTTGGCTTTGATTAAAAACCACAGAAGGGAATGTGGGAAAGCTTTCAAAATAGGTAGTAGGTGAGCTTAGACAATTTAAACAAGCCAGGTGGTTATGACCAATTAAAACTTGTTGTTTAGACCAGAGAGAATAGAGAAAAGGGACAGGGTAGACATATACTTAGTTAATTAAAATATCATTCGGAGTGCTTTGCAAGGTTAATGTATTTATCTGTGTTTTTAGGGAGGGAAGATTTGATAAAGGCTTGTTTTATAGTTAAGGGGCATATGTTATTATCCAGGATTTGATTCCATGTAGGGTTAATTATTGTCTGTGTTGGTGGTAAGAAGCGGTACCTAGTTAAGGTTTTTTTGTTTTTATTTTTATTCCGTTGTATTTTGAATAATATTTAAATGCAAGGGCATCTAGAGGCTTGGATGAGTGTTTTTTTTAAAATACGTCCTATGAAGCAAAGTAAAGAAATATTATAAATCAAATGCTGCTTTAGTAATTTTACCTGGTGATATGAAATGGCAATCAAAATAAAATCCAGTGATTGATTTATTCCCCTGCCCCTCCCCCCTCCACCCCCCAAAAAAGAATCCTTTGGCATCAGGAGGAAAGGACCTACTGTAATGAGAGAGGCATTTAAGTTTGGAAACTCTGTGGTTTAAATAGAGCATTTATTGTGTTAGATTACTGGAGTACAAGTAGGTTTTCACTTTGGAGACAGCTCCCTGATTTTAAAAATGCATCTTAAGCAATTTGTTGCAGTGCCATTTTTCCCAACACAGAAACATAAATGGCAGATGCTTTGATCTGATTCTGGTTAGAAAAGATGGCACTCCAGATTTAAGGACATTTCCGGACAGTGTCACCTAGTGGAAAGAGTACTGGACTGGCACTCAGAAGACCTTGGTTCTATTCCTGGGTCTGTTCCTAGACTGCTGGGTGACCTTGGGCAAGCCATTTCATCTCTCTGTGCCTCAGTAAGATGAGGATCATGATACTGATCTCCTTGGTAAAGTGCTTTGATTTCCACGGATGAAAAGAGCTATGGAAGAGCTGGGTGTTATCATCATCATCATCGTTATTGGTGTTACTCCAATACGTTAGTGACTTGTTTCACAAGCCTAACCTGAATTTCTGCAAGTATTTTGGGCTCAGGGATTGGAGAAAAAGATGCAATCCTACATGAGTGATGCTCTTACTGCTAGATGCTTTCATGGCTTTCGCATTTGCTTAGATAGGAAAGTGAGAAGTGTGTCCAGATGGGGAAAATGAAGGTTCCAGTTGCTGGCACTGATCATTTGCAGCCATGTAGATAATCATTAAAAAAAATTAAAAACGTATGTTAAGAGAATGTTAAGGCTACAAAGTCAAGAACTCAGAAGTTAGGAAATGCCAAATATAAGGCTGCTTGTGCAACCTTAATTTGTACCCCTTGTGTGTATGTGTTATCATGCAGCCTTTAATCGTGCAGCCTTTAATTACATGGTCACATAGTGTTTGATGATAGAGCGATAGGAGCACTGGCAGGGGAGGGTCCTATCCAGGTGTTTAGTTTTGGGTCACAACAGGCAGTGGAGTTCCTTAGGCAGGACTCCTTATCTGCCTCTCTTTGCCCTCCTTCCTGATGATCTGAGCTGCATACCTCGCCAGGCAGAGATGCTGCTGGCTGTTGTATGGAGCAGCACTCCATACAGAGAGACCAGAGAAGAGCAGGGAAGGGGAGTCTTCCCCCCACTTTCCGTTGAGGATCAGGAGCAGCTGTGCTCCCTTGAGTTACTCTTTGCTTTATCTCCTGCCCAGGAGTGCAACTCAAAAGCATGCAGAGTGTGTGGAAACCTTGAAACAACCTTTCTGGAGCTTAGAGGACTAAGTTTCTGTGCATTGTAACAAAGCTCCCCAATGCAGCAGAACCACATCAGTCCCAATGTGGTTAGGTTCTTTATGGTCATCATGGCGGTGTTTGGCCCTATATTTTTAATTTTTGTCTTTCTAAATTCACCTATATGATTCATTGGAATGAGACCCTCATCTATAGAACTATTGAAATATCTCCCCACGAACAACCAGTATTTCTTCAGCTCATGTAGATTTTTGCACCCGTGGCATTGGAGGTAATGGATAGATGATCTCCAGCTGGACCTGGGCTATAGTTGCTAGGTCTTGAATGTAGTGCTGATGCAAAGTCTGTTTTATTACAGTGTTCGGTGCCATGTGGAGTGGGGCAGAGGACCCGAGATGTTAAGTGTGTCAGCAATCTTGGAGACATTGTTGATGACGAGGAGTGTAATATGAAGCTACGGCCAAATGACATTGAAAACTGTGACATGGGGCCCTGTGCTAAGAGCTGGTTCCTCACGGAGTGGAGTGACAGGGTAAGACTTTCCACGGTTTTTTGTAACTGTACCATTCACCCTTCTGAGACATAAGAATTGAGTAGTTTGGCCTAAGTGCAAAAGAATATAAAATATCAATCATAAAAGGGGCAATTGTGATACGAGTTTACTGAATTGCTTTAATCTATAACATAGGCAGGTGCAGATAAAGAAAAGATAAACTGATTCATGAGCTTGTTTTTGGTTCAAGAAGTGATAAAAAGGACAAGAGTGTGGGCTGAAGTCCCAAAGTCTGGATTTGGAATCTGATCTGAATCTAGACTTCCCTAAAGATTGGGTGTGTTCAGATTTATTGTTTTGCTTTGGTTAGGCCTGAGTCCCTAAGTTTGGATCCAGATACTGCCCAAGTGTTCTTTTGGGTAGGAGGTTTCAGATTTGGTGTTCCGGTTTGAGCCCATTCAAGAAAAAGATTACCTGACCCCTACAAAGCCATAGAAATGACCCCTTTGGGCTCCAGAAAGGTTCTTTCAAAGTTTCCACATCCTAGGTAAGCTGGACATATGTTTTGTTCCAATGATGCATAGGCAGGGTCAAACTGTTGTCAATTGAGAGATGCTGATTTACACCATCTGATGATCTAGCCCAGGGAATTTCTTTAATAGTTGTAATATACATATTATTTTATTAAGACTTACGGGATAGGCATAGCTAGCACCTACAAACTATTTTAGTCCCTCTTATGGGTCGCATAGCAGATCTTATCCATACACAAGTCAAACTCAGTGTTCATTGCATAGGCCTCATCCTTCCATCCCTTACTCTGTTGGCCAGTCCTTACCCACAGGCAGATAGCCACATTCAGAGGAAATACCTGTAAGATTTTATATATACTCCTCAGCGATATTCAATCCAGTGTGACATTTTGGGGTCCAACAGTTCTGGTTCAGAGGTCATGTCATGTGCTGACCAGCCTGCTTTGCCTGAGGCAACATGGGAACATACTGAGTGAACTTAGCAGAGCCACCAGGGTCTTGTCATTTCTCTCTGTGATGATGTGTTCTGGCAGTGCAGTCACATGATGAACGCAAACATTGCGGTGTCTAGTCTGTCATGCTATAAATTTTAATTCCATGATGGGATCTTTTTATGATTCTCTATGACTCAGTTTGATGACATAGAGGCTTTCCAGCTCTTCAAAATTCAGTACTCCTTAAATTTTAGAAATTTTCTAGCAGTGTTTCCCAAACTTGGGACGCCGCTTGTGTAGGGAATGCCCTTGGCGGGCCGGGCCAGTTTGAGTACCTGCCACGTCCGCAGGTTCAGCCGATCGTGGCTCCCACTGGCCGCAATTCACTGCTCCAGGCCAATGGGAGCTGCAGGAAGTGGCGCAAGCCAAGGGACGTACTGGCCGCCGCTTCCAGCAGCTCCCATTGTCCTGGAGCGTCGAACCGCAGCCAGTGGGAGCCGCGATCGGCCAAACCTGCGGACACTGCAGGTAAACAAACCGGCCCGGCCCACCAGGAGCTTTCCCTACACAAGCGGCGTCCCAAGTTTGGGAAACACTGTTCTAGCAGAGAGTAGGAAGAGGTGCTCAATTAAAACTGACTCCTGAGTCACCTCTTCAAAGCGTAATTGGAAAAAATGATCAGAATCCTACTCAGATCTGAACAACAAAACTCCAGACTGAGCCTTCCTTTTCAAATAGATTTGTTGAGAGAGAATCTTAGTGCTGCAGTGGAATATTATAGAAGTCATTGTTTGAAAGCAATATTATTTACCAGCCCCTCCACAGACTAATTAACTGTCACGTAATAAGAGGGACCCAATGCAATTAACTTTTGAGGCATTTTTTGTGGGCGGGAGCATGTCTCATTGAAGCTTAGAACATTTCAACTTTTAGAGGAAGTTGCTAGTCACTCAGGATAATGTTAATGTACAGTCTTACGTGGACTAACCCAGAAGTTAACAGCTAAAGTATCCTATTGCTGTACTGTAAACCACAAAGTGCCTTTCTATGTTTGTTTTTCTAGTGTGTAGAGCTGGATTCCTTGTAAAATGTTATTCGAGTGATATTTTATGTGTAGGAAAGAAAAAAAGCATTTTATCCTCAAAGATAGAAAAACTTAACTAGCCCTTTGAGAACATGCTGGGCCAGATCCTCATCTGGTTTAACTTGCTATAGCTGCAACGAAGCGCATCTTTACCAGTTGGGGATCTATCCATCTCTTTTTTCTTCTCCAAGCCTGACACTTTCATTTCTGCAGGATTAAATATGTGACTTTTTTTAATAGCTGAAAATGTTTATTTTAAAAAATTTAAATAAATAAAAACATTCTGTTAGGAAGCTTTTGAATCTAGAATTGTGTTTTTAAATTTTACTGTATTTACTAATGTATGTTAAGTGAGAGCCTAGAGATGAAATATCTTATATTGAAAACTTTATTTTTTTTCTACTGTGACTGTTTTAAAGTTGGATAATAAATAATGGGCTTGTTACCTTTTCTGCATATGGAAGTAAGGGAACTAATTAATGATTTCCAAATGTTTGCTACTGTGTCTGGCATAATTTAGCAGCAACTCTGCCAGCAATGCATTGAGTTAGATTTGTGAAAAGAATAAAAGGAACAGGATTCTTCTCTACATGAATCAGAAAAATATACAGGCCAAAATTTTCAAATTGGACCCTTGCGTTAGACGCCTGCATAAGATATTCAAAGGTCCTGAACAGTAGCAATACCTGTTGAAATCAGTGGGAGCTCTCAGTGCTCTGCCAATCTGTCCCTTTGGCCCAAAATTTTATTTTTGCATGTCAAATACTACTTCAGTGATTCAGCAACCTCTCTTCCTTTTGATTGGGCGTGTTTCTGTTTAAGGGCATTTAGATGGACAGTTTTAAATGATATGGAAAATGAGCACTCCCAGATTTGCAGGCTTTGTATCTTTCACTCGAATTTCCTAAAGCAACTCTTAAAAAAAATATTTTAAGCCAAGCCACAATTCAGCAATAAGTGTAGATCAGTGATGGGTGACCCACAAATAGTTCAGATAAGCAGCCAAAAGTTCAGATGCTAAAATAAAGCTTTTTCAAACCTCCTGAGTCTGCAAAAGTGTGGTAGAAATCTCACAAGAACAGACCTTCTTTATGAGATTTATTACATGTCTACTTCCACTCCCAGCTGGAAATACCACAGAACAGTCTTTCTCATTGTATTGTGGCACTTGTGGCTGGAAACCACAAGTGAAAGAACTTACAAGCTTTCACAACTTTGGAACCTTAAAATATTCAGTTCAAATGTGTTTACAGCAATAAGTGAAGATTTGGTCCTTATTTTTACTTAGTGTATGGATGTAGATTCACTATATGGCTAGATAAGGGGGGCAAGGTAATCTTTTATTGGAGCAACTTCTGATCACTTGCCTCTCTGCTGGGCATTGACATCTCTGCATTCAATTCCTGTATGCATTGGTGCTCAATACAGCTCCGTCATTATTGTCTGCTACAGTGGGAGGGGTCCAATACCTAAGCAGAAATTACATTTACAAGGAGCTAGAGGCCTGGGAGAGAGAAAAACCAAAGTCTTTGGGGACAGGGGCTTGACTGTCCAGCCAGGGCTGGAGCAGGAGGCAGATTGCAAAGAGGGAAGGAGCCTGGATAACTAAGGAAATATTGCCTAGACAAACCTACTATAATGCAGGTGCATAACTGGTTGGAAAACCGTACTTGGAGAATTGTTATCAATGGTTCACAATCGAGCTAGAAGGCCATATCGAGTGGGGATCTGTTGTGGGGTCTGGTTCTGTTCAATAGCTTCATAAATGATTTGGACAATGGCATAGAGCGTACATTTATAAATTTTGTGGTTTATATCAAGTTGGGAGGAGTTGCAAGCTCTTTGGAGGACAGAGTTAGAATTCAAAATGATTTGACAAGCTGTAGAAATGATCTGAAGTAAATATGATGTAATTCAATAAGGACAAATTCAAAGTACTACACTTAGGAAGGAATAATTAACTGCACAAAAACAAAATGGGAAATGACTACCTAGGAAGGAGAACTGCAAAAAAAGATCTGGGGATTATAGGGGTTCGCAAACTAAATAGGAGTCAACAATGTAACACTGTTGCAAAAAAAAGCAACCATCATTCTGGATGGATTAGCAGGAATGTTGTAAGCAAGATATGAGAAGTGACTCTACTCAGCACTGATAAGGCCTCAAATGGAGTATTGTGTCCAGTTCTGGGTACCACATCTGGAGAAAGATGTGGACAAATTGGAGAAAGTCTAGAGGAGAGCAACAAAAATAATTAAAGGTCTAGAAAACATGGCCTATGAGGAAAGATGAGGAAAAATGGAGAGTCTGAAGAAGAGAAGACTGTGGGGGAACATGAGTCTTCAAGTACGTAAAAGGTTGCTATAAAGAGGAGAATGATACATTTTTCTCCATAATCACTAAGGACAGGATAAGAAATAACGAGCTTAAATTGCAGCAAGGGAGATTTATGTTAGGAAAAATTTCCTCAATGTAAGGGTAGTTAAGCACTGGATTGAGGAATCTCTGTCATTCAAGGTTTTTAGGAACCAGTGAGACAAACACTGTCATGGATGGTCCAGATAACACTTAGTCCTGCTTCAGTGCAGGGGACTGAACTAAATGACCTGTTGAGGTCCCTTCCAGGCCTACATTTCTATGTTTCTATGATTTGTTGAAGTAACAGGAAATGTTGTGTGTAGGGAAATTTTTAAATAACTCATCCTTAAGCTTTTTAAAAAAGATTTTTGTGTCTGTAATACCAATACATTTTTATAATTTGAGTCACTCTGACCAGAAGTTGCTGTAGATGGTGTAGATTTCTTATGGTGGGCTTAACACGTTCCAGAAGAACCATCATGAACAGTTTGCTTGGAATGGAAGGCAAAGTGATGCTGTGGTGATTAGAGCACACCAGAGCATTGCCTTTCCCTTTCCAAAATGGGGGAATAATCCCATGGCACCAGTCGTCAGGTAGTTTCTCATGAATCCATTCTTGGTTGATAATAT